GTCATTGATACATATTCCTCAACCTAACCCTTTCCCAAATTTCCCTATCTCTGTTAAAGACCATTTTCCCACTCACCCCTCTTGTAGCACTGTAATCATTCTAAATGCCTCGCTTTCCCTCATGACACATTTCCATTCAGTTGCCTAGTCTTATTGACTTTACCTCCTCAATATCACTTACATCTATCTCCTTTTCTCCACTTACACAATGACCCCCTAGTTCAAGCCCTCATAGCCTCTTTCCCTTACTATTGCAATAACCTCCTACTAGGTCTCCATGCCTGACATCTCTTCCTCTACAATCCATCCACCATATATTTGTCAAAGTGATTTTCCTAATGCGTAGTCAAAAAAAAAGTCACGCCGTTGCTCCAAAAACTCCAATGATTCCCTGTTACCTCTAGAAGCAAAGATAGATTCTTCTGGTATTTGGAAAGCCCTTCTCAGTGTGGCTCCAACCTACCTTTCCAGGTTTATTACACGTTATTCCACTTCATGTCTTTTATGATCCAGCAAAACTCACTTTCTTGCTGTTCCACATTCATGTCTTTCCATTTCCCATCTTTATTCCTTTTCATAGGTTGTTGTCTACTATGCTTGAGATATATATACCCTCCTCACATATATCTCTTAGAATTCTTAGATTTTTTTTCAAAGCTTAAAAATGTTACTTCCCACATTAGGGCTTTCTTGATACTCTAGTAGCTGAATTCTCCTGTACCCCCCCCCCCAATTCATTTGTATTTCCTTTGTACATATTTTGTACTTAGGAGGATATATATTAAAAGAAAATGCAAGCTCACTGAGAGGAGAAACTTGCTTCATTTTTGACCTTGTATCCATGGCTTACCACAGTGTCTGAAACATATATAGTAAGAACTCAATACATGTGTATGTATTGATTGATTGATTCCTATGAGATGATTAAATTTCAGGAGCATATGTGATTTACACACATTTTTTTTCTTGTCATTGCCTCACAATAAGTCAATGCTTTGTTAGAATTGACTGAGGTTTCAGAAAGGAAAGTACTAGCCAAAAACCAAACAAAAACAACCCCATCAAAATAATTTGCTGTTTAGCTATTACTATTAGAGCTGCAAATAAATCTAGTGAATTAATACATACACAGTCATTCACTTCAGAAGATTCTGGAAAAATTTAGTGAAGTCTCTATAGTGGGCAAGGCCATTTTGCTAAAGAGCTATGATGATAAATTAGTCACTTTGTTCAGAACTTATAATCTACTAAGGAAGTATTATACCCAAATAACTATGTATGCATAATGGAATATAGTAATTACATATGAAAGAGTCAGGGTATTCTGTGAGTTCAGAAGGACATATCATTTCTATCATGGAAGATCAAGGAGGAAATGGTGTTGGAGCCAGGACACGGAGGATGAATAGGACTCTAGCAGTCAGATTCAGGAGATAGAAGAAAGAAGGGAGAAGGGGATTCTATGTGTAGCTAACAGGTAGAAGAAAGGCATCAATAGTCTAGTCAGGACAAGTAAAAGGTCTATTTTGGCTAAAGGGTGGAATATATGATGTAAAGTGGTGGGATAAGGCTAGACAGGTTTATTGGGGTCAGATTATCTTTTCTAGGAATGCCAGGTTTAGGAGTCTGACATTTACTCATTTGGCAATGGGGAACCACTAAAGAATTTTGAGCAGTAACATGATCTGATTGTAGGTGCATGTTAAGGATATTACTTTGGCAGAAGTGTTGAGAAAAGATGATGAAGCTATTATGATTGACTAAGCAAAATGTCATGAGTCAGAATGCTGACACTGGGAGTCTGGGAGCAGATATCAGAGATACCAAGAAGGTAGAATCTAAAGGATTCTGTGACTGATTAGGTATGGGAATGAAAAAAAGAGAAAAGCTTAAAGGTGAAAAGGAAGTTTTGGGTTTGGCTAACATTAACAGAAACAGAGAATTCTGGTTGAGGGGATGCTTTTGGAAAAATGATTAATTTGGCGGCAGAGCTAGTTGAATGTGTCCAAGAGGTAGTGGAAAGATGTCAGTCTGGGAGTCAGGGAAAAAGTTAAGAGTGGAGAGATGGACTTTGGAGTCACTTGTACAGAGGTGAAATTTTAAACTATGGAAGTGGATGACAGGATGGGAATGGAAGAAAGGAAAGATGTTTGCTCAGAGCCGATGTGGAAAATGTCTAAATTAAAATGACAGGAAAAGGAACCAGTGAAGGAAACAGAGGAGTGATGAATGTTCATATAAGTACTGTGTAGTGTCTCTGAAGCCATGATATTAAGCAGGGATGTGATGTGCTGGTAAATATTTAACAACTAGCTCTCTGCTGGACAACACACTTATAAATTTAATCTACATTATTCACCTTTTCTCTTTCCCTTTCTTAAGGCTAGACAATCAACAATAGATCAAGCCATGATTTATAGATTCTGCTATAGATGTAAATGCTTACACTGAAAATTTAATAATTGGCTCTCGGAGCAGTTCAAACTGGCACCTGACACCCCTGGGAGAAGATATCAGGGAACAGATGATCAACAGTATTCAGAGAAGGAAGACTGGAGAAAGAGGGGAAAAAAACCCAGTATTGGACTGGACAATTAGGAGGTCAATGCTGCCTCTTTAAATGACAGTTTCAGTTGAGTAGTGGGAGAAAAGCCAAATTGTAAAGGCCAGAAGAGTTGTGAAGCGGTGAAAAAAATTAAGACTTTAAATTCAGACTCTTGAGGTTCAAGCAAAGAAATGTAAGAAGAGAGAGATGAGGTAGTACCTAAAGAAGTATAGTAGGATCAAGGGAAGTTAGTATATTGTGCACACATGAATATGCACATATTAGTCTGAAAGACCTGGGTTCAAATCTCACCTCTAACACTTACTATCTGGGTGATCCTGAGCAAGACCTTTAAACTCTCTGGGCTTCAGGTAACTCTCTAGGGCTTACCTACTAAGTCTTAGATGGGTTAGATCTGCATGGTGGAGGGAGTTCTGCCACAAAGAATGCTTCACACTAATGATAATTCATAAAGCATGACTTCAGGACAGGGAAGATTTGAATCTCTTCTTAGACAGAGGGTAATTGCTTCACACATAACTTTTCATGAACATATTTATTTCTAAAAATGAAACATATCCATGATTTTCTATTATATTAGACACCTTAGTGTCTTAATCTTCTCCCTCTTGGAGTTACTCGCTAGGATAGCTCTTGTACTTTCATTGATTTAATTATTACTTATATGAAGATGATTTCCAAATCTACACCTCTAACTTTGGCAGATTCACCTCTTTTCTTTTCTCTTTGTCTTTTATTCATGGATTTTTCTGTATCAGTTTGTGTATAGCCTCATTTGAATGCTTTTAAATGGTCTTAGTATATTATAATATAATAATGTTAACTCCAGATTTTTAAAATACATCTTTTAATAACCAACAACTCCCTGAGACAAGTAGCTAGAGTATTGCAATCCTGATTTTGTATATGAGGAAGCTAAGGAGGTTGTGAACGACCAGACATAGAAGAACTAATAAAGCAGATTATAGATTAAGAGCCAGAAGGAATCTTAGAGATTACCTTGTCCAGTGGTGTCAAATTCAAATAGAAAGGTGGCTCCTCATTCATACAGAAGGATCCTTACAGGCCATGTATTAACTCAGCTTGAAAATGTAATATTATCTACATTTTATTGCATTTTTAATTTATTTTGTTAAATATTTCCCTATTACACTTTAATCTTTTTTCCAGCAGTAGAGAATATGTGAGTCTGGCTGTGTTTGATCTAGTCTACTGTTCTAGTCCAAGTTCTTCATTCTATAAATGAGGAAAGGGAAGTCCCAAGAAGCAAAATAATTTATCCAAAGTCTCGCAGAATCAATCAAAGCCAGAACGTGACCCTAGATCTTCTGACTCCAAAGCCAGTATTTTTCCTATTGTATCATAATTCTCTTCATGCTAACTCTTACTCAATGACCTGCTCCTTGAAGGCAGTCATTGAGTCTTCTCTTTCCCCATACCTCCCTACGTCTTCTAGTATAATGCTTGCCATCCAATGGACACTCAAACCTTCTTGTATAATAATTACTAAGTGAAGACTGTGAATTTCCCATCACCATCAGTTTTTTTTAAAATAGTAGCTCAGTTGTTTTTCAATCATGTCCAACTCTTCATGACCTTATTTGGGGTTTTCTTGGTAAAGAGGCTGGAGTGGTTTTGCCATTTCCTTCTCCAGCTCATTTTGCCGATGAGGAAATTGAAACAAACAAGGTTAAGTGACTTGCTCAGTATCATACAGCAAGTAAGTGTCTGAGGCCATATTTGAACTCAGAAAGAGGAGTCTTTCTGACTCCAGGCCCGGTGTGCTCTCCACTAAGCCACCTGACTGCCCCTTTTAAAAATAAAACTGTTATAAATTGTAAGAATTTGAGACTTGCTGAAATATCACATGTTGGACTTAGGCTCAGTAATGACTCTATTATTAAAGTTTACTTCTCTTTTCTACCTTATCCCAATCTTTTTTTTGTGTGTATAATTGGTTATATTCTAAATTAATGATCATTATTCACATAGAGGTATAAAAAAATAGACTTGATGGACTTGTTAAAAAGTTGTTACTCTCAAGAAGTATTTTCTTCTAGAGGATTCTATTCTCTAGCATTTAAACTTCTGTGTTGTTTGCAACTTTTGTATTTAAGTTCTATAGTTGTTTCTGACATATAGGAAGCTTCATTAAATTCATATTGGTTAAATATGTGAATTAATGTGTATCAACACTATATTATTTATTTATCCTGTTCCCGTTGTTTCAATAATTAGTTGACATCAAACATAACTTCTTGTAGATTAATTATAAGAACTTTATATTATATTGTTCTAAACTGTGTATGATTCACATTAAAAAGTAAAACCTTAGAAATGATTTTTCACATAATTAGTAATTAATATTTCTTAAACATATTCTATATAATTCCTATGATCATGTATACTGACAAGTTTCTTTTTAAACTTGCAGCAAATAGTGGAAGCAATAAATGCAGGGATTATACCTTTAGGAAACACCTCCAATCAAATCAGTCACTGGGACTTGGGAAGTTCCTTCTTCTTTGCTGGCACTGTTATTACGACCATAGGTAGGAACTATCTTATGAATTTTTATTTTGGAAAGTGATGTGAGCTACGATGCATTTCTCTTTGAAAAGTGTTTTCCCCTCAATAGCTGGTTTGCTTTGTTGGTCATGATGTCACACTTTAGAATGAAGAGTAGATTTCTGCAAATAATATGGAAACCAAACTGTGGCATTAAATGAGAAAGAGAGGATTGCTTAAAATGAGGTAGTCCCCAAAAGAAAAAAATAAAACCACAATCTTAATGTGACAAGAGGACTGGAGCCTCAAGAAATCTCGCCCTTAATTATTGTTTTATCTTTAACTTTGGGAAAATCATTTATGCTTTGATCCCTGTCTTGTTATTTTGTTGCACCCACTTATACCATTTTGATTTCATGCTATTTCCACATTTATATTATAACTGTGTTTTTTGTTTCAGCAGATATTGTCATCCTTTGTGTACTTGCATATTTTTTTTTTCATATTGTTGGATGATGTTTATGGTTTAAGCAATGAATTTTGAAACCCCTAAATAGCCCAGGCATAAAAAAAATCTATAATGTGTGAAGATAACAGAATGAGACTGAAAATCTATACTACTTTACTTTATTGCCTACCATAATGCCAAAAAACCTACTAAAACTGCATCTATCTTATTTTAAATCTTTCTAATGCATCTGTTTGGTTTCATCCCCAGTAATACCTCCTAAAGGATCTATATGGCATAGTGTATGTGGGAATGAGGTGGCTATCCACAAAACACTCTGCATTTATGCTTTTATTAGTCATTCTGCCTATATGTGCACAGTCCTATAAAATGAATGGCCAGGTGACACAAGAGCATATGAAGCTACCTATGGTGGGTAGGTACTGGGAATGCTCGTGGTTGAGAAGGCTTCCCATAAGGAATTGGTTTTGAAGCAAGAGAAAGAAAGCAGTTTGCTGAAAAAGATGAAAATATTGTGGGGAAGAGGAATGATCTGTACAAATGCATGGGATTGAGAGTTAAGGTAGTTTTGACAACTTGAGTAGGTGTTGTCCTCTTCCATATGATTTGTCAAGGACTTCCCTCTGTAGGTTTAAATTGATGTGATCTCAAACTACAGCATCTTAAGATTTAGTGTTCTGATTTAACTGCCTGAGGAATAGCAATATGATGAGGCAAAAGTCACAGTTTCATATCAATATTTCAAATTAAACCCCTAAATTCAACAACAAAATTCAACAAACATTCGTTAAGCATCTGCTATGTTCCAGTACCTATATTGTAAGGATTGTGCTGGGTATAAGGTATAGAAACCAAAAATGAAACACCCTTGCCTTCAAGGATCTCTCTTCTACTGGAGTGCCCCATACCGCCTATTTTTCATTGGCCAAGGCCTTATTTTGATTTCTGTGACTCTCTTCACAGTTAAGCTACTGATTTGTGAATTTCTGTTTGTGGAAGTTAGACTGAGTGGTGAATTAAGTTATTGTTGTTGTTGTTATTGTTGTCGTCATTATTTGTACTCTGCCAGTATAACTGTGCAACAGCCATTTTGGGACCTTCCTTTCCTAAGTATTGTGTGGTTAATTATAATCCTCCTTTGCTTGACTGTTAAGAGTTATTCATTTTCTTTGAAGCCTACCCACCTGAAGCCTCACAAATTTGCATTCCAGAAGTTCAGCAAGATGTGATTTTTTTTTCCTTTTGGTAACCTGTGCAAATGATCTAACACCTATTCTGAGATACTAATAATTTCTCTTGGGATCATTTCAAAATAATGACTCTGAAGGTTATTAGAGCGTGCACTCAGAAGTAATCTTCCTATGTCACTGAATATCATTCCAAAGTTATTTACAATAACAGCTAGATAGCACAGTGATCAGAGTGCTAGGCATGGAGTTGGTAAAAACCTTGGTTCAAATCCTGTCTCAGACACTTATTAGCTGTGTGACCCTATCATTTAACTTCTGTGTGCCTCAGTTTTCTTATCTCTAAAATGAGGATGAGTATAGTACCTTCCTCCCATGGTAATCATGAGGATCAGATGAAATAATAATTGCAATGAGCTTAGCACAGTAGTTGGCACATAGTAAGTACAATATAAGCGCTGTTGTTATTGTTGGGATAAAATGAAATAAAATTCTTCATCAACCTTAAAATACTATACTAGTTTATTATTGTCATAATCATTATTATTATGGTTGTAATTTTAGTTATTAACTGGTCTATCATAGGCTTTGCTTTAGTAGAAATAGCATTGGGTTTTTGAGTCAGAAGGCCTGGTTTCAAATCTTGCATCTGACACTTACTACCTGTGTGATTTTGGACAAATCATTGAAACTCTCTGGATCTCAATTTCCTCATCTTTAAAATGAGGAGGTTAGACTCTGAGATCCATTCTTGGTATATGAGCCTAGGAATAAGCATCTACCTCTGAGGGTCTTGACTGTGTGTCAAGGAAAGCTGTCCCAAAGACAAATTACTCATGAATAATGACATATATAAAAGACTGAGAACTTAGATATGTGGGCCTTGGCCAAGTAGCTTTCAAAAAAGACCATCTAAGTGCTCAGGTATGCATATCCTAACCAAGAAGTACTCAAATCTTTAAGAACATTTGGAAGGCAGGGCCTTAAGGAGAAGTATCAGAAGCGGAGCTTATGTAGATCCTCAAACCTTATGTCAAAGATTTCTACTGGGACTCTCACATAGATACTGCTACTTGTATCAACATGAGGAAAACTGGCTCTCTATAGACTGAAGGAATGTGCTGCTCATCTGGAAATGCCCAAGGGGACCTTGATGGCTTTCACACTCCCTGCACTCACTTTTCATCTAAAACTGGGCAATCAGAATTCAAATCCTTCACAGTATACTACAGTGGAACACACATGAGTTGTCTATTGGATTTTTCTTTAAACTTTTAATGATGTGGCAGTAATGTTTACCATATAGCTATCCATTTAGAGAACATTTACTGCTAAATTTGGGGGAATGGGTAGGGGAGTCTGATCTCGTATTCTACCATTGAAATTAGCCTCATGAAACTAACACATCACTGTGAGTGGGGGGGAGTTAAAACATGTGCTCAGAGAAGTTAATGCAATTATTTAAAGACAAAGAGTATTAATAGTTGTAGGGATTAGAAAAAGCTTTATTTGAGCATTGAGGCTGTGGTTTGAAGGAACATGAATTGGAGATGAGGAGGGATACATACAAGAGTTGAGAGATCACTTGTGTATTGAACTGGGGGATAGAATGACATATAAGGAAAACAACTAGCAGGGCCATTTGACTGGAATGGAGACTATATGAAAAGTAATAATATAAAATAAGAATGGAAAGGAAGGTGGGAGCCAGATTAGACCAGTTTAAAGATTTTGTACTTGACTCTTGAGGTAATTGGGAAAAAGTAGAATAAAACTAAAGAAAATACTACTTAGATTTTCTTCTTTGGAACAATTTATCGTCTTTTCATTATGAATTCACTACAGTCTTTCTGCCTCTAGGTGATACTAGATTGAAATATCTTAGCTTGCCTTAACCATGAGCCAGGTCAAAAGTTAGGTGACTGTGAAAATCTGGAAGAAAGGAAACCCTAATTTTCAACCATAATTATAGGTTAAATTTGGGGCTTAGACATTTTGACCATTTCCACTCTGAAAATAACTATTTGTTGTTTGAATTACTTTGAGTCTGAAGAGAAAAATCATCACAAAAGCATGTGAGGATGGTTATTTTCTGCACAATGAAAATTCAAAAGGTCCAAGTTATACCCCTTTTGACCACCACCAAATTGCTTTGGAGAAATTCTGTCTGTCACTAAACAGACTTAATGTTGAAGTTCCACAGTATGTTTATAAACACTGTCTCATTTCAAGAATCCCCAAACCTGTAAGTTTTGCAGACATATACTTCAACATATAAAAAATACACTATTATTACCAGCCTTACCTCCAAATTATAGCCATTAAATACAGTAGCTGATTATTTCCATTGCTCCTGGGAGTGTCCAGACTGCTAAGATCTCTCACTGTTTGAGATCAGTCTCTGGGTTTTCAGTGAATTAGTTCCTTTTAGGTCAGTAACATCTTTCCTAATAAGATAGTCTCTTTCAAAATAGAGAGCCCTAAAGCATCCTCAGCTCTTTCTTAGAAGTTTAATCACAGATTCAAAGAAATTCCAACATTGGAAAGGCCCCCAGATTCCATATAGTCCAACCTGTACCTGAAAAATATCCTTTCTACAGCACACCTGATAAGTGTTCATCTAACATTTGCTGACATTCTCCAATGAGACTGGGAACTCATTGCTTCTTGAGACAGCCCATTCGTATTTGTTAAGAGATTCTTCTGTCCTTAAATCTAGCTTAAATCTGCCTCTTTGGACCTTCCACCCAACTTTAGACCTTAATGCAAAAAAATAACTCAAGATACATTCTTGCTTCTATTGGAATATAAACACTTAAAGGCTTCATATTCATCATAGATGTACACCTGAAAGAGACCTAAGAGTTCATCTAGTTTATGCCTTTTATTTTATAGATGAGGAAACCAAGGCCCAGTAAGGTTTAATGGTTTGCAATTGGTTGCACAATTAGGAAGCGAGTTCTGAACACTGGTCATCTGACCCCAAATACAATGCACTTTTCATTGTACTAGCTTCTCATTCAAATCTCAGCTGCACTAATTATCTTAGTATTCTTATCAATTGTATCAATAGGTAGAAATGTAGCTAGCTTTCATTTATAATCAAAGAAAAAAAGGTACTTTAGGATTTAGTTATTTTGTACTTTAGGGAAATGCATGTAAAAGTGCTTGGAGTTTATTGGATGCTAGAAAGATGCTACATAAACACAGTATATCATTATTAATCCTGTTAGGAATTAATAGTAGTCTGAGAAATAGTGGGCCTCCTGCACTATCTGCACTTCATTAGTTCTTTAAAAATACAACTTTAGAGAGTTTCGGAAAATAAGTTACAATGGTTTTTTTATAGAGTGGCTGGTACAGACAGTGCCTCATGGGGACATGCTAG